GCCCCGAGGTTTTCTCACCTCGTTGCGCATTCAGGGATCTCTCTTGTCCCGGCAGCCACCCAGCTCAGTACTCTTGGGCAGTAACTGGATACCTTTTATTTCAACAAACAAAAAAATTGCTTCCTTAAGTGCTGACAGCCTTTTTAACCAATACATTTAAAAATGTACAGAACTAAAAACTAAAAAAAATCAAAGACTGATCTTGTACAGATATTAGTGTTACCAGCATTCGTGTGGAAATTAAATGAGCAAAGAAATAAAACTAATGTTAAACAACTCTGTACCATAACATTTTCTGTAATGATATTGAAACTTAAATGAATAAAAAAAATCCTCAGTCATTATTTAAAATTTCACCTGTTTAGCCTTGTTGTTTGAACCAAAAAAATAGTGGTTTAAAAGGGTATTTGGGGTGGGGGAAGAGGACAGGAAGGAAGGGAAAATAATATATGGAATCTAGGGCCCTCCCTCATGTACAATATCACAAGTGAGCTGAAAACACAGAGTGAGCTCTCTCTCGCTCATCTCCCAAGGGGCAAAATGGAAGCAGCATTTGGGAGGTTTTACAACTGGATTAGTCAAAGCTGGAGAATACTTTTTTTTTTTTCCCCCATGTAAATTGCATAGCAGTTGCAAACAGCCCTTGTTTGCCCTGCACTGTGTGGGATTAGATAGAGCATTCTTTTTCTTTTTTTTTTTTTTTATTAGATTCTCTTTTTGTTACAGGGACTATTCAGCCCTCCTTTGATTATGTATTTTGGTAATTTCACATTTCATCTGGAATCAAGACCATAAAAGTGCCCTACAACACTTTACTTCTTGGAGTTCATGGGTTAAATGATATCCCATCAACTCCATTCCTGAAGCCAGAACATTTGTCCATAGTATTTTTTGAAAACTTAGGAGTGACACAGAAAACAGGGTTTAAATCCTGACTGCCACAGTGTACCAGGGCTGTAGTTCTCTGATAACTGCAGAGGGCATCCCTGGAGGCTGGTTTTAAAACCAAACTCTGTTTGCTGTGCAACAGCCTGAACACTCCCTGCACAGGCCGTTGCAGAGGTTGAAGGCAGGTGGGCATACACCATGTTCACAGGCACTCCAGGGGCTGATACTTCAGAAAAATAGTAACACAACTTGCAGATCGTATTTCTTTGTTCTGGACTACATGTTCTGAACTACATCTGTGATTTCTCTGTACAGCAGCAGGGTGGTACCAAACTAAATTCATGAATGCCTGTATTTACTGATATTGTAAACCACAGAAGAAGAAAGAGAGAGGAGACTTAATTCATCTCTGAGAAATAATGTAGAACACTGCCTATTATACTCCAAAGGATTATTTTATAGTTAAGGAGTTATTACAGGCAGCACATATAATGAAAATTGGAAATGTATAAAGGATACCAGTAAGAACAACCTGAAGGAAGATTGTTCATGCAATTGGAGGTGCTAGACAAAGATAAAAGAGAAATGCGAGGAAACCTAGTCAAAAATATCTTGGGTCTGGTTTACATTAAAACCATTACTCAAATGTGGCAGAGAGGAGTTGGCACAATACTGTGTATAATGCATGGTGCTGTTTAATCCATATGTCGACATCATAACACTTAACTACCATTATAACGAATAAAGCATTCAGAGGTTAATCGAGATAATTTTTTTCCAAATCACTGATAATAGCCTTAGCCACTCTACAGTCTTTTGTAATCCCCTCTGCCCAGCATTCAAAGTTTTGTGTAAGAAAATAAATTTTGCATTTTCTGAGAGAGATGCTGACAGCTCAGCCTTTGTTAACACTGAAAGCCATAGTGGTATGTTGGAGAGGTAAATCTGGGAGGAGTATAATAAATCATTATTATAACTATGTCTCAATCATGAAGCCTAAAATCTGAAAAATTTGCCTTGGTTGTGTAACATCAAAGGATATAAGTGTGATGTAAATAGATGAATTCAAATCACTTTTTTAACATTCCTAACTCATGGTTTCAGGGAAGGTTAGAAGCTTCAGAAAAGAAATCAAGGACAAACAGATTTTAAGTATGTGGTTACTTTGGTTCAAGGACTGAGACTTGCAAATGGAAACATTTTAAGGAATATTTTCACTATTTTTACTTCTCTAGATAAGGTTTTAGAACAATCAAAATAGTAACTTAACAACAAGTAGTGCCAGCAATGACTGAAGATAAGGTTGGTATTCCAGCTTTTGTTAGTTTTCTTCTTTTTACAGCATTTTCTTCAGCACCCATACATGGGAATGATGATATGCAGTGGGCCTTCTGAGTTCCATTCATCCAGCTGGGGTAATCCTGTAGTGACCTACAAATCATACCGCAACTTTTGTGTCCTGGCTAGCTGATACCAAAACTTTGACTGTACACTTGGATGTTAAATGTCATTCAAAAATTGTCTGTAGTCAGTCAGATAAACAGAAGAATAAACTGTCCTCTTCCAAATACTGATTTCAAGACTTTACAGAAATTACAAAGTTAATTCTATCTTGAGATTAAAATATGTTAAACATGAAATGTCTTTGATCTGTAGGTAGTTATTACAGATCTGTATGACTCCAGAGATTACTAATTAACATGGAATCTTGAGCCTTTTTGGTTCCTGAGCTGAAGGGTTGCACTTAAAACATATTACAACATGGATACTGCTTAAGGATAATATGCAACTAGAATCACCCTGCAGGTTCTGTCTTTGTCCTCCCCAGCTTGCCACTCTGCACCAAGTGCTAAAGGTTGTCTTCTTTGACACATCTGAGTCCAGAAGACATGCTGCTTGCCTCATGCCCAGGAACGATGGTCTTCAGGCCACAAGGAATCTGCACATACCCTGCACTGACCACAGAAGCGCCCATATAGGATCCACCTTTTCCTTCCAGTTGCCTTGGTTCCAAATCTGTCAGTGTTGGGATGGCACATGCCAGCCTTGTTGCCTTTGTATGGCAGCAGTGGTCAGGGCCCGCCTCAAGTCATGCTCAGGAAAGCTCTTCAGGCTGACACCTCTGCCAGCCCTTGCAGGGCAGGAACTACTTTAGTGGGGCATCTTATTTTGGAAAGCAGATGCCAGGCTAAGATGGCCCAGCACTTCCTCTGGCCCTCTGTGATGTGCTAATACTCAGCTTCTCAAAAACAGCAGCAGTGTCTGAACCGTTCGTGAGGTTTTGTGTTAGGTAAGAAAAATACACATTAAATCAAGACAAGAGAAACATATGACAACTTTGTTTTCTTACATGGTAACAGCACTGAGGTGTTTCCAGGTACCTGTATTCGCAGTTGACAAAGAAAACACAAGCAAAGTAAGGGCCAGATAGCAAAAAGCTGTTAAGTATTGGTTAATGAAGAAGACACATCTCAGGAAGTGCATAAAGATTCATTTACAATCAAGTTCAATAGTTATTTTAAAGGCAGAGTCTCCTTCTTGCATACATATATTTGGAATGTTTGGATACACAGCTTTGTACTTCCCCTGAGGAACTAGGTGGGAGAGTGAGAGCGTCAGAGGAGTCGTCAGAGCCCAATTCAGGCTACATTATCACACAGTAGTTTGATGTGTAATGACCCTTATCCTCTTCCTCTTACCTGACAGGAAACTAAGAATAAGAAGGAAGAAGGTAGATGTTGAAATGCTGAAGCACAGAATTGGCCAAAATTCTCTTTTCCCTTAGCTTTAAAATTGAAACTAGTTTTAATATCAGAAAAAAAATCATGAAAACTGTCTGTCATTTACATTTTCCAAGCATTTCTAATAGACTTTTATCCCAAATAAATTCAGGAATATATACCCAACCTAATATTTACTTTGTGAGGTTATTTTGTGCATTTCCCAAAATTCCAGGTAAGAAACTCTTTGCTTAAATGCTCTAAGTCTATGATAGTCTCCTTGCTGGAGGTAGTTGAAGTCAGCTGGGATTACTCCTATGAAAAAGACAAAATTTAGCACTACAGGTTAGACAGGGAAGGGCATTTATGCATGTAGTCAAAGAAAGCAGAGACGTTTCTACGTGAGGGAGACAAGGTGGTCAAAGTCGCAACTATTGACGAAGAAAAAGGATTTGCAATGGGGAGAAGAGTTGCAGCAGCTGCTGATTTTTAAAGCAGCAATCTGTTAAACAGAGACAAGGTATAGTTTCCCATAGCAGTATTTGGTCAGTACATTGCAATGAATTGCCATAACCTCATGATGAAGAACATGATCTTAACTGTCCCTCTTAAATGATTTGGCAACCTAAAGCCAACCAGTCTCAAAAGACAAAACACAGCATTTGCACCCCTTCACCATGGCACTGTCAGCAACTGAACTTCTATATTTACGGAGTGAAAAAATCCACGTTGTTGTTTCTTCTATGTTTTATGGGTTTTTTTCTGGTTTTTTTCACACTTGACTTTTGTTTTCTAGTAACTATAACCCAGCCTTCACTCAGAAAGGTGAGTCCCCATGCTGGATTTAAACTCAGCATTGAAATGCAGACACTTCTTGACGAATTCATGGGTTGCAAAAGCCTGTGGATTTTGCAAATGTTACGGCCTCATGATGTGCTGCTACTTGCATGTTTTCTGAAAGGGCTTAGTGACTCATATTCAGTATTAGATTAAGATTTGCTCTGTACATTCGTGCCATATTGCACACAAGCTGACAAAGCTCTTGGAATATAAAGCCTTCAAAAGGGTGATGCACAGATGCTCAGTAGCTCTCTAGCTGTCGTCAGACTGGTCTGGCTGGGATTACTTGCTCCATGCCAGCACTGTACAGTGACATCCAGCATGCTCTGTTCCTATGCAAGGACTTTTGCATTTGCATAGACCCAAATTGGGTTTAAAAATACAGCCAACTTAATGTTTACAGAGTCAATTCACAAGCAAAACCAAAACTTGATTGTACACCAGTAGCTGCACAGATGATCTGAACATACTGGAAAAAGCAAATGCACTGGCATGATCTCAATAACCAGGGATTCAAAAGTAAAATTAACTTCAATAAAAGCATACGAGAAGATGGAAAGTAAGTACATATCCGTGCAAAAACTACCCTAGAAACAACAGCAGGGTAAGAACTCAAGCCCCTGATTCACTCCTTTTGTAGGTGCGGAACACTGCCAGATTGAGACCCGTATCCAGAGGCGCTTGCTTCCATTAAAAAAAAGAAAGAAGTCATATTGCAATACTGACATGTTACCAAACACTGGCACACAAAAAATGGTTCCACCCGATTGATAAGGAAGCATGCAAAGTGGCTTTTGTTAGTACCTGACATTCTCCTCATGTGGATCTTACTGTGGCCCGAGATTGTCTGATTGGTCATTACCAAACAGAAAGCAGAAGGATCAGCAGGACAAATGAGAGTTAGCACATCAAGGATGTAAAGCTTTTCAAAAACAACATAACACATTATTTCCTGAGATATTTGTCTGTTGTGGCAAAGTGACTTCATCATTTTGAGACGTTATGCTGGTTGGGGCACTAAGGGAAAACCTAATTCTGCAACCATGTGCAGACCAGACACCAGGCCAGGAGAAGCCAACCCACATGTTTGCAAACACAATTTCCTACACTGGCCATGGCTGGTACCAGCAGGAGAATGCAACTTCTATGGGACTACTCAAGAATGCTTAAATGAGACAACATAATGCCAGAAATTTACCCGCACTGTGGCACGTGCACTTTTAGGTAAATTTTTTTTTTTTTTTTTTTTTTTTTTTTTTTTTTTTTAATCTCCCCCTTGCAGAAAAGTAGCCAATAGTTCACATCTCAGGAGGAGTATGAATGCATGGCAAGTAGGTAATGATCCATCTTCCAAGTACTCCCCCAGCACCCACAGTGTTTGTGGAAAGAAATCCCACATTTTCACAGTGTGAAACAGCATCTCCTCTGTTTTATGCTGAATCTGCCACCTCCTAGTTCTGTTTGATGCTTCTTAAATTCTGCATTGGAGCAGACGAGGAGAAGTGACCCTCACTTTGCCACCCACAGTTTTATGGACAGCTACCGTCTGGATTAAGAGTCCCAATCTATGTAGTCTGCCCTTTGTGGTCATATTCCGTCTCCAAGGGTCTGTAGATTGGATGATCCCTGTTGCTCCTCTGCGGCGGGCGGAGGAAGCAAGCAGCCGATTCAATGTGAATGATAGAGCGAGCTTCAACTTTATTGAAAGAGATCACACCTTATATAAGCAGTCTACAATACACTACTTGTAACTCTATTGGATACATTTAAGAAACTACATTATAATATCTCAGCCATTGGGTACATCTAAAAAGTCACATTATAATACCCCAGCCCCCTGTGGCATTTCTGGTATGCATAAACATCTTTCTTGCTGTGAACCTGCTTCTCTCCCAGGGCTGCCTTCCTTCACCCTCAAGGTCGTAATGCGCCCCAACTTATCTCTGTGTTCTCACAACAATCCTCGCTAGCACAGCTGAGCCTTGGGTCTTCATCCTTGTTTGCATAACTGTACCCTGGGTTCTTTCCTCTGTTTACCTCAGGTGGCTGGGACCGACTTCTGCAGGGAGCTATGGCCGACCAGCTCCTGCAGGGAGCTATGGCCTTGCTCTCTGCAAGCCGTTCTCCAACACTCCTCTTTGCACCCTCTTCAGTTTTACTGTATTTTTTTCTGAGACAAGGAGACCAGAACTGCACTAGTGAAAGGCATCACTGTCTCACGTAACCACACAATGATGACTTCCATTTGTTCTCTACTTCCTAATATTTTTTTTTCTTCAGTGCTTCTAACCAATATGTTTTTATGGCTCTTAAAACACAGATGACCTTAAAGTCTAATTTTTAATTGGTACTAGTCAACCTGGGAACAGTAATTATAACAACAGATTAGGAAAATGTTTTCCTCATACACATAATGTTATCTGTGCTGAATTTCCTCATCTGTTTTAACTCACTTCCACTCAGTTTTGAGCAATCCATCTGCAGTTCTTGGTCCTGGTAAATGAGTATCTGCCTTTAATTTATATGCCTTTATTTTAATCTGATAATGGAGACTGCATTGATTACCTCGGATGAGAATCTGTTCTATACTGTGTGAAAAGACCTGCTTTGGTGGCTTGACAGTTATGCTGTAATATTGATACTTTATTATGCCTGATCTTTTCTTGTGGTTTATTGCCAGCTGGATTGCCCACTGGTGCTGACAGCCTCTTCAGCTATGCTCTTGTTTCAGGATGCTGTTGCATTACTTTGGAGAACTGCCAGGTGATTTAATAAATCCCACCTAAGGCAAGACCACCCTCACGCATATGTGGAGAAGCTGCAGGGAAAATATTTTCCTGTAGCTTTCTTGTATTTGGATGAGATTGCTGAAACAGACATTTTCCTGGTGAAGACTGGTGGTCAGTCTCCTGGGATGTGGCTCTGCAGAGCCCCGTGGTAGGTGCATGTGCTGTACTTGAGGGAATCAGCTCACAGGAACGTGTAGGCGAGTGAACTGGTGCCAATGCTGATTACAGCTGGTGGTTTCTGGCGTACTGTGCCTTTCTGCAAGCACAGCCTATTGGGGCTTTTGTGTCACCACTAGGTAGCTATTCATCACTAAACATATTGAATAATGAAAATAAAAACGGCCTGAGAGCTACTTATCTGCCAGTCTTTCAGGAGTGGAGAGGTATGCATGCAGATGCAATGGTACTTGAATTCATCGAAATAAAAGATAGTTAGTTGGCACTGTACATCCATGACTGACTTTCTGTAATTTACTCCCTACTGGTCAAATCCAATCAATTTGCCCAACGTGCTATGAAAAGCCAGAGAACAGAGCAGAAGACAGGATTTAATATGCTCTTGGCAGCCTGCGTTGCTAAGGAGTCATGCTGCTGCCTTCTCCATTAACTGGAGTTTTTCTAAGAGGTGATCACTAGGGTTAGATTAAAACAAAAAAAAAAATAACAGTCCTTTGTTAAGGGCTGGGATAAAAAACACACACACAAAGGAGCACAGAGAGGAGGGCAGGTGGGCAAACCCAAATAACACCCTTCCCCGGCTGCTCCCAGGCCCATGGCAGGAGGCATCAGCCCATCAAAGGCCCGTCTCCACAAACCCAGAGGAGCACAGGGGCACAGTGCCAGGGGGGTGTAAGGGACCGCCTCAGCCACTTTGTCTTGGCGCTGCGGTTACGCCATTACACCCCCCCACACCCCGAGCCGCAGGCTGGTGTGAGACTGTCAGACTGTGGCAGCTGTCTGTCTGAGCACACGCCATTTCACAGGCCAGGCCTCGACGTCCCATTGCCGGGAGGACAAAATCTGCCCGGAGCTGGGAAAGCCGCGTGTGTGCGCAGGGCCGGGGGACGTGCGGAAGCTGGAGGGGTCAGTGCCCGACCCCGCCTCGGTACGAGCACTGTGGACACCTGGGCATGAGCACACAAGGGAACACGGGGCCACGAATATGCAACTGAGCTCTGTGAGGACGAGCACACTAGTGGTGGAGACTGTATAAAAGGAGCTGCATACTCTTCCTCCCCTAAGTTTCTCGCCTACCGAAGCTCCTCGCTTGCCGCAGCCTCTCGCCTGCCGTAGTTTTTCACTTGCCTTCTCCCTGTCGCCTGCCGAAGCCCTCACCTGACAAGCTTTCTCCCCATCACCTGCACCAGGACTGGACCAACAGAACGTCACTAGACTCGAGCTGGTGGTAACTAGTATTGCTGCATCTCTCTTATTTGCTCGCTTAGGTATTCTGACTTGTCCTTTTCCTTCTGTCCTATCACTATTATCAGTTATTTCGTGAAATAAAGCATACAAGGTTTGTGCAGCATCTGAACTTGTGTGCATCTTACTCTGCATTTAAGCATGATTTAAGACCAATCCCCAATGTTAGATCGGGACAGTGGGAACCCACGTTGAGGACTCACAGGGGCAGCCCTGGCTGGCCCCCTCCCAGGGCTGTCGCAGGGGTGCCTCAGCCCCTGCCCAAGCGTGAAACCCACCATCATGAGGTAATGAGGGGGCTCTCACCATCCCCTCTCAGACTATGGAATGTTACTGCCTGGGAGTGCAGGAGGCATTATGGGATGCAGGGGAAAAGCATTTTAGGATTGCACGAGCTTTATGGGATGTTTAGGAGAGGAACCAGAAGTGGTGTAAGGAATGGGTGTAAGGGATTTGGGGAGGAACAGGTGTAGAAAAATAGATAAAGAGATAAAAAGGGCTGGTCAAGTGCAAACAGGTACATTTGTCTGACCATGCCCTGTGCTCTGCACAGTCACCACAGTCTGTCCTGTCTTATTAAATGTCATTTCTAACTCTTTGTCTGAGTGAGGAAGAGGCAAGACTGTGGAAGGAGTTATCTTCTGGATGTGGACCAGGAGAATCTCAGAGGCTGCTGGAGAGACTGGGGAGCCTGTGGGTCACATGAGACGTGTGTGTGTGTGTGTGTGTGTGTGTGTGTGTGCGCGTGTGTGTTTGTGCCCATATAGAGGTGTCTCCAGGGGTGAGGCACCTGGAAAGACCAAGGATCGAGGAACAGCTCCTGCTTGGGCTGTGTGGAGACTACGGGGGGAGGGGGGAGTGAGGGGTCTGTATCCGCAACACAAGTGGGGTTGCAGCTTCAGGGGCTACTTGCCAGCAGCCTGGGAGACGGAGATCCCGGGGACAGATACTGGACAGTGTCTGAGCCCAGCTGCTGAAGGGATACACATTGTATACGTGTCTGTATTTCCCACTAATAGACCTTCATCCTGATCAGCCAAAGAGGGGAACAAGGTGAGGCCCTTGGTGCTGTCTGTCTTTGTGTGAGTACTGTATATATGTTACATGTATGAATTTGTGTGTTGTACCTACTGGGAATACATGCTTGTCCCTACTGTTGGCTGGACCTGGGGGCATGGAGCTGCAGCAGCATTGCTTCTGTCAGGCTACTGGATTCACCCCATCCCCCTCAAAAGCCACACAAAATGTGTCTTGAAAAACTGATAGCAACTTGTCTTACTGTAGTTGATGCATTACTCTGAGACTGGGAGATTAAATACATGTCAATGCCTTAGAGCGATGAGAGATGCAGAGGCACCTGCACGAGCTAGCACTGTCCATGCCAGAATGTGCACATGACCCAACAGAGCATCATGTAATGCTGTCTCAGGCGTGAAAATGTTATTAACCTGCACTACAAGAGTCCTTGTGGCTCTACTGCTTCCTAACACTGTGTTGGCTCAGACTCTCCTTCCACTGGTATCCACATACCACAGTCCAGGCAGGGGCTGAGTGTACGTGTGTATTTGGGGTAGGTAGACAGGACTGGCACCTTCTATGGTTCAGTCAAGAGCTGTGATCACTTCACTGTGGAGTCAGTCTCCTCCAGCTCACTTGTGGTGGTGTTCACAATTACATTTCCATCGACTAGAGAGGAAAAGGCAATTCGATGTTGAGAAAGTGCTTGATAGTGGTGGTTTTGCTAGAGCAATGTTATTTGTCCTTCTCCAGCCATGTATATTACACAGTGGAAACCCAGAAGGGAAAGAAAAGCACCATTGTTTTCCACGCTGGATCAGAGTTGTGTTGTGTAACGGAGAGAGCAGACGGCATTTCTGCTGGACATTGCTATGTCCGTGCATAGTATTATCAGACAGTCCAGAAGTTGTCCTGTGGTGGGCCCTACCTAAGCAAGGGAGGATGTGTACCTGCAAAGGAGATTGCACAACAGTTCTTCAAACTGTCAGAAACATAATTTTCTCATTTTGCAATATCAGTTCTGCTGCAACCAGCCTTGTGTTCAGTCATGGCCTGAATCCTGTCCAAGCACCAGGCTGAGTTGGAAGCAGCAGTGTTATCACATAAAAAAAAAAAAAGGAGTTAATGTCATAGGTTGACCTGGCTCATCTAAAAGGTTAATCTGGCAAAGGAATGCGTAGAGAGAATCTAAATTTTACCAACCAGAGCAAGACACATGAATACAAGCTCGATTTCAAATTCAGGCCAGGGCCCTGAGTGCACCAACAGGCTTTAACTGCCCTGACCAGCCTCACCTGGGATCTGCACCCCCACAGCCCTGCCCAAGGGTCTGGGAGCCACACTTAAGCTCTGGCTTGGGCACCTAGTCCTCCTTTGTGAGAGAGTATAGGTGTATCTAGTGCTAGCCAGGACTCCTGCATGAACTTCTGTGGACATCTATTACAGCACTGTCTCCAGTCCTGCCTCCTGCTACTCCTGGCTGGATTTCTAGAACAGAGTCTCAGAAGGGACTCCAGATCTGGTTCTGTGCCTGACAGTGAACCCTGTTACTGCCATCCTGCTCAGCCCATTCTCTCTGAATTGCAGGATTGGAGGACTGTGCCTTCACTGTCTCTGTTAAGGTCATCCTTGGTTCTGAGCTCGTCATTCCTCATGGAGCAGACCAACTCTTGATGTTTCCTGGCAGCCTGCACTGCAAGGACACTACCTATGCAAAAACCTCTGATGTTATCATGCCCTTAATGAGCCTGTGCTACAGGTGAGTCCATGTTACCTGTTACCTCGATGCCCTGTGCAACCAAGGAATGGAATTGCTGCTGTAACTGGAGAGAGCACAAAACAGGTGATGCATTGTGATGTCAGCAGTGATGCAGCTGAGTTCTTCCAAACCACCCTGCCTGCCTGTAACAACAAAACTTGCTGCCTCAAGTACCACTTCTCTTCGTATCATCACTTCTTAAAGAGACTCAAGCAGGGAAACTATATCATCAAGACCGTGCCTGATGATGCTGCCGATCATGGGGGTTTAGTCCTGGGAGAATTCCAGTGGGCCCTGCAGAAGGGACTGGCATGCTCGTGGCCTCTCTTAGACATTCATTCATCCCTGGGAAAGAAATAGATGGACCTAAGTGAAACAAGGTATGGAAGGGAAGTAGAGTTTATTACATCTATTTTTTAAAAAAAACCCTAGTGACCAGGTATTTCTATTCTACCTGACATTCTGCCACTTACTGAGCAGTCATGAACAAATCATTTGACTTTTGTATCTACTTAATAGAAATTAGCTGTTTAATAAAGATATATTAAATGCAATTAATGAATAGCCTTGAATATTTTTTCCCCCAATGAGTCAACCAATGTCATGCTGCTTATTCTCCAATTTTTGTGTTAAAGTTAGCCTGGTCAGCTGCTACAGAATTTCTACTTCAGAACATCTCCTAAGTCCTGCCCTCCTCTTGACTCCTAACAAAAAAAAAAAAAAAAATGTGTGATCCAAGAGGTACAAAGAGAAAATTTATCATCTAGCACTAAGAACAGCCCAAGGGCTTATACTGTTATTTGCAGGGTATGTCACTATGTTGAGGTTAAAAAATACATCAAGAAAAAAGATATCTTAACAGTGACAAAAATATACAAGATTACTTATAAACAAGAACAACATTCTGAAATACATAATAAGCGAACTAGTGTTTGTAGATTCGCAGGCCCTTTTTCCTTAAATGAATAGTGAAAGAGGATAAAGCCTTACTAAGTTCCCCTTTACACTTGAGATTGGATGTTCTTAAAAATTTGTGATTTGGGGGTGGGGAGAAGTTCTGTTTAGTAGTATAATAAAGCCTGTCAGGAAGGATTGTGTTGGTTTCTTTTCATTACCATTGGGGGGATAATGTGTAAGCCTTTTTATTCTCTTGAACTTGTAAATTTATTTTTGTTTTCTGGATAGGCAAAATGAATAGCAAGTTTGATTTTAAGGACATCAGCTCAACTCAGAAGTCCTTTATGGGTGACCTTCAGAGACTCCTTAGGCAAGGAGAATATGTTCCTTTTAGCTCAGCTCCCATCTTCGAAAGCAAGTTTGTAGAGGTATGTAGAAGTCATTCAAATTTTAAATAATTTGGCATGCCTAAGATAAAATTGCTTGAAATATTCACTATTCTTATTCTCTGTTTACTACACACATGGATATGTTTCCCTTCTCCAACAGACTCATTCTGCTTACATTTTAAAAGCAATATAGTCCAGAAGCCCCCTAACAGCAGCAATACTGCAAATTAGAGGAGGACAAAGAGTGATATTTTCACCCTTCCTTGTCAGCCCCTACTCCTTCCTGTAACAGCAGTTAGGACTGTTGTAGCAAATTTCTGGTTCTGTGCTATCTCATTAAGTTTGTTAGCCATCAGTGTCAGTTCAATCTAGCCTAAGGCAGTCTCCTCCCACTTGCAAATTCTGATATCCTTGCAGGCAATATCACTACCCTGCCTGTCACCTACCCTAAGCACTGGCCAAAGAACCTTGCAAGACTCTGGCAACAGCTTGCACTCCTACAATACTGCATTCACAGTGTTTCTAAAACATCTGAATTCTATTTACACGATGTATCTCAACAGTGTTTTTCATAGGGTTTCATTACCTCACTTCGTGATAATTGCAACATCCTTTGGTCTTGCCTTGATTAATTCAGTCTTGCATTGTTGATACACATGCAGAATGTTAATTAGCTGGAGTCTCTGTTTTCAAGGTACTTTATGATTTATCCCTGCTTTATTTACCAGACCTCATTAACTATCAAGGAGGCAGCTGCCCTAACCCAAGAAAACAGCAACATCAGTGACTCATTTACATTAAGCTGAAAAAAAAAAAAAAAAAAAAAAAAGTGTTTGATCTTTTTTGCATACTGTGTCTCACACATGGGAATAGATTCTACTAGATATCCACAAACATAATGCACTGTTCTCCCTCAAATTCCTTCTTAGGACACACTTTGTCTGATGCCCATCAAAACCAAACCCTGTCAATGGTGCATAACATGTGATTCAATCATACTTTTCAACTTCTTACCTCCTTGTATTTTCTCGTTTTCCTCTTTCTGTAATTTCATGTCTTACACACCAATTACTTGGGATCTTTTTCCATTCTGTGTTTGTACAGCACCTAGCAGGATCCTGGTTCATAACCAGGTCTCATTAATATTACAGTAATGCTGACAAAGCCAGGGAATCATCAGAACAGAGTGTCTCATGTTTACACTAAGAGAAATTCAAGATAATAGTACTCAAGAGGTTTCTGACCACAGCAATCAGATACCCTACACTTTGGCCAGTGATCTCCAGTCCTCCTTTATCCTTATTCAACTTCTTTCCATTCTTTTCATTCATACACATTCTTGTCTCATTATTCTACATTGCCCTTCCTCCTCACCAACCTAGTACCTAAGATCTAGGGCCCCTAAGCCAAAGCACCATGAAATGTACTGGTAGCATATTTTCTGAGAGATCATATGGCAAATGTCAGTGTTGATAAGGCCTTTTTTTTTCCAGGTTAATCAAAGAGGGGAACCAATTTCTGTCCATAACCGACCCAGCTGCGTGATCATCGGCATCAGTGCTGTCAATCCCAGTTCACCAATACCTGATACAATGCTGGTGGCGCACAAGGTGCCCGTGTCCCCACAGGAAAGTATGACAAACTTCTGGAAACTCTCAGAGCAGCCATCCCACGTGGAAGAGATAGCACTTGCCAGGTGTGTTAGCACAGAGAAGGGTTAAATATTTCTTTGAAGAGCAAATAAGAAATATGAATGTGTTTCCCATTTCCACACAGTGTTTTCCTTCTTTCAAGGGTCAGTTTATTAACAGACCTCATATTTGCACTGGGTCTTTGTCCTAGCACTAACTCCATAAAGTTAGGAGAAACACAAGTACACACCTTTAGGCACCACTCCAGCCATCATTTCAGGCCAATGATAACTACAAGTGCTTAATAAACTTTTTTCTAAATATATCAGAAGCTGAAAGCTGGTAGGAAGACTGGGGGTACAGGACTGTCAGGGAATAAAGCAGTGAAATAAATGAATTTCAGAGAAGCCATCTTCCTTTGTCTCCATTCTGCCCACTGCTGCCCAGCATTTCTTCCACAATCAGCTAGAGGCACTCCCAAGAAGAGTGTGCAAATCCACTCAGCAGCTTCCTCCTATTCCAGTTTCTCCCTTTTAGTCTTATTCTATGTATAGGTCTAACAGACACAGTCTCTCTTTTGAGAGGAATCTCCACTTCTGCTTAATGATGATTCTTCCCTTTTTTTATAGGATCTTGCCCTTGAAGTTTGTGGAACTCTCGGTCCACAGCACAGAGAAGCATCGCCTCATGTTAAAATTAGTAAATGGCCATTCCTATTATCTAGAACTCTGTGCCCCACCAAACCAGCAACAACATCTATTCCACCTGTGGCTGCAGCTTATCTCTCTCCTGAAACCCCCACAAAAGATCCGCAATACTGAAGTCGATGTAAAATGCAAGGATTTTGGCACGTCTTGCAAGGAAGCTCTCAGCCCAGACCATCCATCAAAAAAGGTGAGTCTTTAGCAAATAGATATCAAAAGTTCAGGTTGACCAATCAGAAAGTATCACTTGTGCCTATATTCTTTACTGTCTCTCAAGTCAATATTTTTGTGTGCTTTGAAGGAACCACCATTCTGTTTATCAAAATATCTGGCTTGTTGTAAACTCACTACAGAATTTCAGGGCAATGGGAATGAGGATGGTAGATGCACCATAGCCCTGATACGTTTTTGCAAACCAATAAATAGCATACTACTTTTTGTTTGGTGTTTAGTTTTCCCTCATAGTTGGGGGTACGTTCTTAAATGGTTCTTTTTGCCTGAATTCCACAACCCACTGAAAAAAAGCAGGAAAGGAAAGTCATGGCACAGCTGAGACCCATGCAGGGACTTGTCGGTCTCGGTCCAGCTGGGATCAGGACGATGCGCAGAAGAAAGGCAAACTCACACCAGTTTGTTGAAGTGGGGGCATTGCCATGAGCAAATGTTGCCGCACTGTGTGCCAGCTCCCAATTTATTCCCACTTGTTTACATAGGTTTGTTTTTACTTCTACATCCTACTGACCTTCAGGTTTTATCTGTTTACTGCTCACAGGCTCACCACGCATTCTGCAGGTGGTGTTCTGGCCTGCTGTTTCTGATGCTTGCAACACGAGGTTCCGAATGTTGCCTCAGTTTCCCCCAATTATTCTAACGTCAAGGCCCATTTACAATTTGCTAACCACCAGTTCTTAATTCCCACATCTCCCCCTCCTTTGTTTTATAGCTTCGTTTCCATGGCGATCATTGCAGTCAGTCTCAGTTCGGCCTTCCACACTGTGGACATGAGGCGTCAGACGTGTTGCAGGATGGCAAATCCTGTAAAACAAATCAAACATCCCAGGCCTGCTAAAACCCACATCCATAGGTTCAGACCTGCAAATTAATGCCAAGGGTTGAGCTGTGATAAAATTTTTGCCTAACTCTTTCACGATGTCATCATGCATTAATTTCAAGGATGCCAATTAAACTCAGACATCTGAGTGAAAAGAGTATGCTGATTGCACTACCAATAATTAAAGGATATAACTAAGTAACTAAGTACTACAAAAATAAGCAGTAACAAATATACTGAATAGTACACTTACTTATTACTGTGTATAATTAAACAAGGCAAACGCACCTAATCGTTACTACACAATGGGGTATTAATATTCAGATCCGCAATTGCTGGGGAGCCCTGGTTGCAGCGAGCATTTGGAGTACCCTTCCCTGCAAGTGGGAAGTCCCACTTGCAAAATGCATCCATCTGTGAGGCATCCAAAGTCACGGCAAGCAGGTCCAGCCTCATATATCCAAACCAGCAAGCCAAAATAGCTTGCATTTTTCTTCGAGTGGAAACATCAGGTTTCATCCCCCTGATGGATTCCACCCAGAGCCTGACCAGTAATTGGGGGAGAAAACCAAGGGAATTTCTAACAAGGTCAAACACTTGGGTTCTTAATCTTTAACACTGCTAAACAAAGAAAGTTGGATACACATTCTCACAGAATTTCAACTTTGTTAATAACTACATCTTGTCTAAGCTACATCTTTCACTAGTGACTAGTAAACCTATATATTTTGTTAATGATCAAATACTAAGAATTAATGCTAATAGTAATACAGATTTTACTAATTAACAAGAACTAATAATGGATAATGTTTAGTTATAAAGTTCATCTATAGGTAATGAAGTACACAGTGGTGGAAAACTGGCACAGAACCTACAAGCATTTCATCTTATTTGTGCCTCTTTTCTAGCCAATGTTGCTATATTGGCAACATTCAAACGATATGACTGATTCTCTGTGTCTCAAGGAGGAAACCAAGCTCCTCCAGTCCCTTGTGTGTTGTTATTGTTACTGGGACATCAGGATCCCACTGCTGCCACCATGTCTTCTGTCTTCTGTTATAGTTGTCTCAGACTTGTCCAAGTAGTAGCTGCAGTTGCTGAGTTTCTAGGGGAACGTAGGCTGCATGTCGATTCCTGCATCATCAGTGAGGGCTCTGTGGCATCGGGCTGCTTCTTCCAGCTCACAATATGGCTTGACTTTCCTTGCCGGTATCCACCAAGGACCTGCAGGCAATAAAACATAAGCATACCCCTTCCCCCACACCAGCGGATCTACTGGTCCTCACCAGGTCAGGTCTCCTTCAGGATCCTTATACAAAACCTGTGGTTTAATTGTAGAGTTTGTTGTGGTGCTAAAAATCTTTCTGCTGCTGTCAAAACAAAATGATTTCTGTTTAAGAAATAATGAGTATATAAATCCATTGACAGTTCATTATGTGGTGTGTCCAGAGAATCCCCCCTTCTTTGTTTTCAAATCAAGTCCTTTAGCGTACTGACCATCAGAAAGATTTAAAGTTAGTCCTTCTAGAATATCTACACCTATTATATAGTCAGGAACAGGGGGAATCATGACTGAATAGAATCATCTTGGGAAGTTTCCTATTTTCATTTCTATTTGTGTTTGTACAGCTTCAATTTGTTTTCCTTCCAAGCCTGTGATAATTACAGGTTGTCGTTCAAATTTCCTGGGATTCCCATATATTAAGGAAACTTCCGCTCCAGTGTCAATCAGGGCATTTACAATTTGTGGGGACCATAATACTGATCCCCCTCCCTTGCCTCCTGCAAAGGGTACAAGTCAAAAAATGATGCCCAATCCTCTTTCAGCCCCGGAACCATTAATCCACCCACGGGGCCCTCCATGAGCAGAGGAAGGCTCCTGTTGAGGCTCAAGAAGAGGTGCCGTAGGCTGAGTTGTCCCTGGATCCTTAGTTTCAGAACTATTCAGCCCTCTCTGTGTATATATTCGCTAGGGCTGTCTCAAGTGTCTTGATTCCCTGAACAGAAACTGCACTAAAGCACAGAAGGAACCTGTTACCTTAGAGACACACTTAGGAAGGAACTTGTATGGTTAATGACACCGCTCAACATTATCTAAAGCTATTTCCCCTAAGGTCCAAGCAAACAACATTTTGTCAGCACAGACACTGATGGGTCTTTAGTTCCCACCCAAGCCAGCTCAGCTCTCAGCCAAGCAGAAGCACATCCACCAGGAGAAGAAAAAACCACAATCACACGGCCAGTGCTCAGTGCTGCACGTACATCTTCTCTGCACTAAGGAGCTCCTGTCTTCTCCCTGGCCATGAGAAGCAGAGAAAAGGAACAACTCTGTGTACACACAGAAAAATTACAAGGCAACTAAAAAAATGTAATTTTGGAGAGAGGACAGAACTGTGAGAGATAATTCTTTCAAGAAAAATCACTGATGAGGTAAAGAAATGAAGAAAATCTAGGAGAAAAAAAAAATAGCATATTCAGATTAGATTTGCAGAAAGTATAAGACTCAGATTTGGCTGAAAAATCTGCACGCCCACAACCATATTTGCTAACTCAAGAATGCATAGATTGTGAGAAAATAAGTATAGGATTTATACAATTTCTTAATTAATATTTTCCTGCTTCAATTATCCCTACATAGCCACCTTTCTTCTGGGCTTTCTAGACTAGATCCTTGTACCAACTTTTGGACATAAGCTGGCCTGACATGAATGTCAGTTCTTGTGTGTACAGCAGATGTTACTAGCAATTCAATATACTAAAATAATGATCCAGTCCTAGAATCTCTATTTTTCTTTGCAGAAGAGGTGTCTTATTTTCCCAGTCACACATTCATCAGTGTTTCAATACCTTGAGGTGCTGGCTTTCACTCACTACTGACTTTTCTACCGACAGTTTTAAAGTTTGGATTTTCCTTTGCATTATTACATCCTCCCTGCTCTCTTCCTGTTTAGACAGAAAGCTGTCTGCACATGAGAGACTTACAGGTATCCCTGCCTCAGCTACTTGAAAGCAGGAGGCTTAGATTTTAGTAGGGACCAATCTCAAAACCTGGACAGGAGGGAGAGCAAAAATCTTGTCTCAGGTTCTGAATATGAGCAAAAAGAGGATAATAACCTGGAGATAAAGAAGTCCTGGACATGAACCAGAAGCAGAGAAGTTGGAGGCAAAGCCACAAACTCTCAGAGGTTAAGCTTTGGGACTGTTATCCCTTGATGGACTGTATAGTCAATCTAGCCAAAGCTGTAGGCCAATAATCACCAACAAACTGAGAATGTAGGAGAAACAGTAGTCTCTCTTATAGATAAATATATTACATTTCCTACGATGGCCTGTCTGACACTATAGCAGAATATTCAGCGTATAGGGGATTTTTGTATAGGAAATTATCACAAAGTTTCAGCTGTGCTGATCAGCTCTCTCTAGAGCTCTTTTTTATGTCAGTTGGTACTGCATCTGTTACTCTTTCCTTTTTCCTTCTAGAGGAACAACTCACAAGATGTGCCTAACCACGAAAGAGGGGAAGAAGTTACTAAACAAACATCCTCCGAACAAGTTTGCCTCTCAGGTACAGTAGGTCCCACAGAAGAGAGTGGAAGGAAAGTGCAAGTATTCCACAGCATCCCAAAAACAACCAAGCAAGAAACCACCATGCAGTCAAAGAATATACATCCTGTGGATACAAAAAAGAGCAAAAGCACAAAAAAGAGCAAAACTAGGTAGGTATGTTTGGAAAACAAATCTAATATTCTGATGCTGACTTTGAAAAGTAAAATGTGTCATATTTTGGTCTTCAGAAAATATATTTTTGCAACACATTTTCAGGGTTACTGTGATTTTCCTAATGTGTTAATGGATTAGGAAGCTGAAGAATGCAGAGTGGGGTTTCCAAGTATCCAGACTTCGGTTTCTCAGATGTTTAGGGGCTTTTGAAAGACCATTTCCCTTGCCCACCCTCCCACCATCTGGGTTCACAAAGATGGGCAATCAAGCAAAAGCGCATGAATGCTCAGAGACAAGTGCTAGAAGTGTCCCTGAATGTGCAGCGATTTGCATACAGGCAGCTTTGATTTAGAAACATACAGCGTGATGCAGACTCAGTGTTTCCTTTCTGCCCAAAATCAGCAACGTGTCCTGGGACAGAAATCTGTCTTTTCTCTATCTCCTTCACTGCCATATCCACTGTGGCTTGTGCAGAAAAGAAGCCGATTTTGTCCATGATGTTACACAAACTAGGCAAGTAGAAGTTAAGATGGCAGAAGGAAATGGAAACTCTGTCACTTACACGAGCATCTGCATAACAACAAAGAACACTTCAACATAATCACTTCTCAGGCCACATCTAGGCGCTAAGTGATGTGTTCAGATGCCTCATATACAACCGCAGTCTATAACATTCAAATAGCTCTATGTGTTAGTGCGCCTGTGCTTCAAAACAAGGCTTACTACATCATTTAGCAATACATGTTTCTACCGCAGACAGAAAGATATTAAAATAGCAGCTATTTAATACTGATCCTGGTACATAATGGTATTGCTAGGGTAAGACTTTTCCTGAGTTTGTTGGCAATGGCATAATGGTTTTTCTCCTGAACTACTTTTTTTAGGACAAATACGATGAAGCAAAATAGTAGAAGAAGGTTACAGACTTCAGGTATGAGTTTTTCTGATATTTATTCACTTCTCCATTGCTATTCCTAATTCAACAACAGATGAGAGAAGCTCAATCTTCATGAGCTCAGAGTTCTTTAGAACAAATATTCATTTGTCCACATTGCAAATAGATCAGCACTTGTGTGGCCATATTACTAAAAGGTACCCTGTGCTCGTTCCCTGCAGGGATCACATCTCACCTTCTATGGTTCAGTGTAAGGTTTCTTCTAGAATGGCCTTGATGTTTGACTTGTTTGCTGATGGCAGCCATTGCAACCTCACTGCAAAATCAGATAAAATACAGGATGGTGGAAAGGGTGAGAAAGCTGCAGGCCTAGGACAGTTTTAAGGAGGTAATGTTGGCCCATACCTCCTCTTCCAGTGTGCTGTAAGGCTTCCCAAAAACCCATGTCTGAGAATGAATTTACCTCCAGACAGTGTGTCTGCAGTGTCCTCAAGCAGGAGGTCTGGACTCATGTTTCAGCAGAATGGGTACACGTTTTGGAGCGCTCCCCACAATGTCATGTTGGGATTAGCATTAGCATCCTTTCTGACATTCTGCATTTCTGCACAAACATCTACAGAATATCCAGCTGGAACAAGTAGACACCTAAAGACAGTTTTTATTAATGTTCACAGTTTCCCTGGTTTATACTTCTCCATTTCTTGTCAGCAATTAAACACTTAACACTTTTATCTGTGCCTGCAGAGGAATGACAAAAACTGAACCACTTTGCTTACTGATGCCCCTTACTTTATGTCTAAACTCATGATCCTTCTGCATGTGAGTGAATCAGGCTCTTGAACAAAAGCTTTTATGGTCTTCCTCCATGTACTTCTCCATTTTGCTAAGTTACAAAAGTTTGAATGAGTTCTTGTTCAGTCAATCTCATTTTTTGTGAACATGATGCTACTGTGTGCTCCTCTTTGTAGCTGGCTGGTGGGCTAAATGCAGTTCATTGTCCTAATTGCCAGTTCACAGAATCACAGAATCATCTAGGTTGGAAAGGACCCTGGAGATCATCTAGTCCAACTGTTCCCCTAGCACAGTTCCCACCTACAGCATATCCTTAAGCTCTAAATCGACCCAACTCTTGAACACCTCCAGGGATGGGGACTCCACCACCTCCCTGGGCAGCCCATTCCAACGCCCAACAACCCGTTCTGGAAAGAAATGCTTCCTAATATCTAGTCTGAACTTTCTCTGATGCAACTTGAGGCCATTCCCTCTTGTGCTGTCGCTCTCTACTAGGCTAAAGAGGCTCATCCCCAGCTCTCTGCAGCTTCCTTTCAGGTAGCTGTAGCGGGTGGTAAGGTCTCCCCTCAGTCTCCTCTTCTCCAGTTGGTGGTCTTAACGTGATCTACATGACCTGGAAGAAAAAGTGGTTTTTTAATGATGTTTTTCTGTGTGCATACATCTCTCCATCCACTGATACACATCTATCTGTCTGAAAATCTTGTTCCATCTCTCTCTACACACACTTTGGTACATGAATCTTTTTAATATCTCATTGTTATGTTATTTTTCACTCTCTTCCCCTTTTAACAGCCATTCCTTTCGAAATGGGGCTGCTGAGAGAGAGCAATGAGCTATGAGCAGATATAAATTAGTACATGCTCAAGAACTTATTTTAGGACTCCACATTAAATGGAGAACATAATATTTAATCAGCAAAAACAAATTTGTGCAAAACACTAGATTAATTATACTCTCATTTCAAATTCATTTCCTGCGTCTATGATATACATATAGTGACAAACACCTAAATTATATTTACTGGGACTTAGTGATACAATATTTTATTTCTTGTGATTTTATTGTGAAAACTGTAATAATACATAAGTAGTGAAGCAGTCAGAACAGAAATGCTTCATATGTTTTCCTATTACACACATAAAACTATAATATCATTCAGAAAAAAACAAAACAAAACAAACCACCTGTCTTGACAAATCCAGCATTTGTATTTTTTGCACTGAGGGAAGGAGACCTGCCTATTTATTTCAGTCTCTTCCCCTCTAGAGTTTTGTCACCATTTTTTTTCTATATAAGCAATTACTTTTACATATTAATTCTGTGGTAATATATTTGCAACATATTTTCTGTAGGAAAGACAAAATAGCTGCTTGTATTTCCCACTGTTTTCTTTCTGTTAACATCTTTGCTTCTTTCTCTGTGTCTAAGTGTTCCTTTTTCCCAGTCGCTCACAGCTTTTCAGCTTTCCCTCTGATCAGCTTTCCTGTTCATTTTCTCTAGCTCTAAATTATTATTTCTTTCACTTTCCATGTTCTTTCAACTCTGTGCCTCTTCCTCTTTTTAAATGGCAGCTTCCTCCAAAGATGTATTCCTCCTCTTGTGCAATTGTGTCTCCCCTCTTTTCCTTCATTTTCCAATCACACTTCTCCCAGTCTGCCTTCTACTATCAATTCCTGAATTTGCCATATTGAGGCACAGGCAGTGTGTGTTCCTCCTGGACTTACACAGACCCGCAGGCTCTGTTGTCTTCTCAACCTGCTGATTAGATTTCAGTAGAGAATGGAGGCTTTGGAGAGAATTTCAGAGGAAATGATCTTCACATACCCCCCAGCAGCTGAGAAGTATGACAATATCATGTCAACTGATCCCAGCTATGCACAGGCTTTTCACATCTCTCAGGTGTTCCGCAAGGACTAAAGATGATTTCTGCTGTGAATAGGTGAGACAGTTTGTAGGAGTGACTGAAGAATAGCATGGGAGAGACTGGAAAAGGCCAGTTTGGAATATAGAGCACAAATTCTAGTAAACTCACCACAAAGGCAAATCAGTTCCCTCTGGGTGATCTTTCTTCCTTTGGGGTTCTTGGTGTATGTTTACTTTCCTCTCTTCTGATTCCTTGTACTTTTTCTCTTTCAGCCTCTTAAGTGTGCTGGTTTCCTCACGCTCATAATGTTGCTTTTCAGGAAATCAAGAGAGTGACCATAAGGCAAGGACCCTGCTTCAAGTATTATCCCAGATGATTAGTAAGAAGGAATAAAAGAAAATAAAGCAAAGCATTCTGGACATCTGTACTGGGTCTGGCTGAGCTGGAATTGGTTTTCCCCTACAGCAGCCCTCACGGTGCTGTGGTTTATGCTGGGAGCAGGCAGGGTGTTGATAGCACCCCGGTGCTGTGGCTACTGCTGAGCAGTGCTTACACAGCACCAAGGCTCTTTCTGACATTTTCCCTCCCCCAGCGGGACCGGGTGGGCAAGATCTTGGGAGGGGACACAACCAGGACAGCTGGCCCGAACTGACCAAAGGGACATTCCAGACCATGTGACATCTGCTCGAGTATAAAGCTGGGAGAAAGGAGGAAAGGGGGGGCTCACCCTTGGTCCTCCAAGGAAACCACTACATGTATCAGAGCCCAGCTTCCTGAGAAGGCCCAACATCGCCTGTTAATGGGAAGTAGAGAATAAATCTGTTTCCTTTTTGCTTCCATGCATGGACCTTTGCTTTGCTTTGCTTACATTAAAACTGCTTTTGTTTTACCACAGGGACTAGTTTTTTCCTATCTCATTTTCTTTCCCTCTTTTTGCCCTGTTGAGAAAAAAGGGGGAAGGGGGGGGAAGTGATAGAGCGACTTGGTGGGTAACTGGCATTTAGCCAAGGTCAAACCACCAGTCTTTTTTTGGCGCCCAACATGGGGCTCAACAACAGCAGTTTTATATTGTGTGCTATAGCAGTTATTAAGCAACAAGCTCTTGTGCTGGTCACAGGTTTGTTGATTGCACTGCTTATCTTTATTTTGCTAAACTTGGGAACATGCTGAAGAAAATCAAGAACATCATGGATAGTTTTATTCTGCAGGCTCCTGAGGTACTTATTCACCTTTATGTGAGCTGCTTGATACTGTTCATTGATACTGTTGGCTTACTGTGAGTTGTGTGGAGCTCGGTATGTTTTTGGTGTAAGAGAAGGCAACTTTTGGGTGAGCCGATACCAAAATGTGCCCTGAGGTGGCCTGTCCCTGTGTGGCAGGGGGAGTAGAAGGATTGGGGCAGATTTCTAGGATGGTTATTACCTCTCGTAGCCTGAGATCTTACCCCTGAACAGACAGGCAACCCCGCAAAATTGATACACCACCTGATAGAAGGGTGCCTTGCCTGTCCCAGTGAAAATCAGCAACTTCTAGTGCTGTACTGGGGCCTGGCCTATGCTTATTGAGCTGCAGTTCAGTACTCTCAAATGACTGTGGTTGAGATGGGAGCTCAACAACAGCAGAGATTGCCCCAGTAGTGAAAAAGAAACAGCGGACAAGGAGAAGAGCAGGCCCATACCCTTGATTAATAAGGGAGGAGAAAGAAGAGGAAAAGCTTGATCAAGAAGCTGGTCCTTCAGCAAAGGGATTGGAAGAGGGAGTAACAACTGAAAGCTACCTGGTCCCTGACCTCATCAGAACTGTGAGATCTGCAGAAAGATTATAGCCGCCAGCCAGGTGAGCAGATTGCTGCCTGGCTGCTTCAATGCTGGGATAATGGGGCTGGTGCTCAACAACTGGAAGGTAAGGAAGCCCAACAGCTGGGTTCCCTTGCTAGAAATCAAGGAATTGAGAGAGGATTTTGAAAAGATCCAGCAATTTGCAGTCTGTGGAGATGGCTCCTTTCAAGTGTTAGAGCAAGATATCCTTTCAAGGAAGATCTTATGGACAACTCCCCAGGGAAGTGGACTACTGCAGATGAAGGTGTCCAGTACCTGAGATAATTAGCAGTGCTGGAAGTTATCTATGGTGATCCAGATAATGATGAAGCTCCTAAAAATCCAGAGGATGTCCTCTGCACACAGGCCATGTGGAGGAAGGTGATTAAAGGTGCACCATCCCCGTATTCTGCTGGCTTGGCCGCAATGTACTACCCAGAAATGGGTGTGGGAGAAGGATTAGGACGTACACCAACTGTGGAGGTAGTCTCTTCGTGGCTTCAGAACTTTGAAGAGAGTCTTGGTACCTCCTCATCTCTACAGGCGAGCACCTGGATGTCAGGAGCACCCCAAGAAATCAGTTCTCTTCCGCCTCAGTCAGAGGGAAAGGGAACCCCAGGTGTGTGACACGTGGCAAACTTTGGTTCTTCCTGCATGACCAGGGGGAGGACATGAAGAAGTGGCATGGTCAACCCACCTTTAAGTTGGAAGACTGTGTACATGAATTGCGAGGAAAGATCCCTGCAAGAAGACATCCAAGAAGGCTGTTAATGTAGGTGGTGTAAAACCATGGGAAATAATCAGTGATCTCCCAGATACAGGAAGACTGAGATCACCTCCCTTGACTCTGATGAAGGAATCTCCAGCCTGGCATGGCAAGGGTCAGACAGCGAATACTCTGACCAAGAACAGGAATAGAGGGCCCCTGCCTCCAGCCAGGAGGAAGAAAGAGATGATTGGGTGTATTGGACAGTGTGGATTCAATGGCCTGACACATCAAATCTACAGAAGTACCAGGCTTTAGTCGACACCAGGGCATAGTGTACGTTAATACCATCAGGTTATAGAGGGGCAGAACTCATCTGGATCTCAGGAGTAACAAGGTGATGTAAAGAACTGTCAGTACTGGAGGCCGAGGTTAGCTTAACTGGGGACAAGTGGGAAAAATATCCCATTGCAACTGGCCCAGAAGCCCCTTGTATCACAGTCATTGTCTACCTCAAGAGAGGATACTTCAAAGATGCAAAAGGATACTGATGGGCTTTTGGTGTGGCCAGTGTGAACACAGAGAAGATCAAACAGTTGTCTAATTTGCCTGGCCTCTCAGAAGATCCTTTTGTTGTGGGACTGTTGTGAGTTAAAGAACAACAGGTGCCAATTGCTATGAGGACCATGGTCCAATGGCAGTAGCACACAAACCGAGACTCTAGCTCCCATCCAAGAACGGATTCATCAACTGGAGAGCCAGGGTGTCATCAGTAAGACACATTCACCTTTTAATAGCCCAATATAGCCAGTTCGAAAGTCTGACAGAGGGAGGAGGTAAACAGTAGACTATCGTGGCCTGCACAGAGTGATGCCACCACTGAGTGCTGCTGTACCAGATATGTTAGAGCTCCAATATGAACTGGAGTCAAAGGTAGCCAAGTGGCATGCCACAATTGACATTGGCAGAAGAGTGCAGGCCACAGTTTGCTTTCACGTGGAGGGGTGTCCAGTATACCTGGAATAGACTGCCCCAGCGGTGGAAGCACAGCCCACTCTTTGTAATGGACTAATTCAAACTGCACTGGAAAAGGATGATGCCCCTGAACATCTACAATGCATTGATGACATCATTGTTTGGGGCAATGAGGCAAAAGAAGTGTTCAAGAAAGGAAAAAGAGTAATTCAGATTCTTCTGAGAGCTGAGTTTGCCATAAAGAAAAGTAAGGTCAAGGGACCAGCACAAGAGATTCAGTTCTTGGGAAAAAAATGGCAAGATGAGTGCCATTCATGTGCCTATGGATGTTGTGAACAAGATAGCAACTACGTCTTCGCCAACAAACAAGGAGGAAACACAAACTTTCTTAGGACTTGTGGGATTTTGGAGAATGTATATTCCAGGTTACAGTCAGCTTGTGAGCACTATCTATCAAGTAACCCAAAAGAAGAACCCTTTTGAGTGGGGTCTTGAGCAACAAGTCTTTGAGCACATCAAACAGGAGATAGCTTGAGCGGTAGCTCTTGGGCCTGTTCGGACAGGACCAGCTGTGTAAAATTTACTTTACACATCAACTGGAGAGCGTGGCCTCACATGGAGCCTCTGGCAGAAGATACCAGGTGAAACTCGAGGTCGACCATTAGGATTTTGGAGCCAGGGATATCAAGGATCAGAAGCCCACTACACTCCAACTGAAAATTAGATACTGGCAGCATATGAGGAGATTCGAACCGCTTCAGAAATTGTTGGTACAGAAGCACAGCTCCTCTTGGCATTGCAATTGCCTGTACTACATTGGATGTTCAAAGAAAACATCCCTTCTATGCACCATGCAACCTAGAATAAATGGGTAGCATTAATCACGCAATGAGCTTGACTAGGAAAACCCAACTGTCCAGGGATCCTGGAAGAGATCATGGACTGGCCAGAAAGTAGAGATTTTGTAGTACTTCCTGAGGAGGTGGCTCGTGCCCAAGAGGCAGTGCCATATAACAAGTTACCAGAAGATGAAAGGAGTTATGCTCTGTTTACTGATGGATCCTGTCGTGTGGTAGGAGATTCTGTTGGAACAAGAAAAAGATGGAACAAGGAAGAAAAAATTTCCCTGCAGACTTACATTCCATTCATAACCTCTTACTATTGCACAATTCACTGTTACTGAAATACAAATTCTGTATTCCTCTGTGCTAGTTCACAGCTAGCAACAAAAAATACATTTTGATCCTGGGCAGTGGAATCTACAATTCTCAGTGACGGAGACAATTTTTTCAGGGTGAAGAATTGTAAATAGTTTACAGCAGAAGGCAAAGAAATAGACACTTTAATTAACTTCATAATATCTGACTACAGCTTACACTTTTATATAGGGTCAGGAAATCTTCTCATGCAAGCAACTTCCAGAACACTGCTGGGGGACAAGTGATAGAAAGCAATATCATGTAGTGCGCACAGAATCATACTAACACAGCTTTTATTTCTGCAAGTGAACTTCTAAATGAATGTGGGTGAATCACTTTTCCTTTTTGTTTCTCGGTTCTTCGTTTGTAGAATGAGGATAGCCAGATCTCTTTTGAAAATCACCATGCAATGTACTAAATGAGAACCATTATATAAGGAGGTGGTGGTGTTGTTACTGTTGTTATTATTATTTAGACACTATAAACATCACTATCCTATTGAAATACTGAGCAGCATTTTTGACAGAACATACTGGCTGCACTTGGAAGCGTTTCGCATTAAGCAAACTAAGTATCTGCTGCTGCTCTTGTTACCTGTCCCTGGGACATTTCTGTGTAATTTACAGCATGTGCAGTATTTTACTGAAGTTTTGGAGCGTAAGTTTTGCACAAGCATAACTAAGCATGGGAGATGGAACACTCAGTATGCTTCCCTCCAAATGAGCACAGAAGACATATATAACACAACTTCTGAGGAGACAAATGCCAATCTAAAATTCCTTGAAAACATAAATTAACTCAATAGTCTTTGAGGGCAGTCAATGTGTAATTAGATTCCAGGTTAGGATGCCATAAGAATCAAGTGGTGGCAAATTCAAATGCTAGGTATCACCCAAAATGTGAACAAGAGTGAAATACCATTCATTATAACTGGAAGTGCCAATGTTATTTTCCATGGTGAAAAAAATTTTCTAAATTCTGTTTATCGAAAGAGCAAAGTAGCAATTACTGACAGGGAAGAAACTTTTAGGCAGTGTTTGATTAAAAGGTTATACAGCACAGTCTCTGCTCAGGGGACAGTAAGTACTTGAATGATACATGATTTATGAAATGCTGTTGTCCACTACAAGAACAAATGTAAAATACTGCAAAAAGAGGATCAATAACGGTGTCTTCACTATCATCTCTGCACAGACTGGCTGCAGATGCTTACCATCAGTGACTTCACACTAAACTTACGAAATTAACATTGTAGAATGCTGGAAAATCGATGATACAGATTTTAAATATTCTTAAATAGAGTATATTGCATTCAAAAACTGTTTGCATTAATCAGAAATTATCATTTTGCTAGCACAGAGGTAATGTAATAACCATGACCAATTTCATATCAAGATATGCTGCATATACTAAGTAACATAGAATGGAATGCAATAAATTAAAGATTTAATTAGGAATACCTCCCATGTTTGGAGAAGTCTTGCACGCTGCCTACATTGATGAAGAGAAATTTAGTTTGCATCCAAACAACCTGCCAATGCATAAGGCCATCAGAGATAACCTAGTCCTAGGAAAAAAGTTAAAATCCATCAAAACAAAGGTATCAGATGTCCAAGCACATTTTGAGAAGAGTGATTTTTAGATGAGAAACAACATTAATTAGATTTTTTTTTATTTTCAGAGCTGGATTATTGTTAAGTAAATTTATTTGCCCCAACCATACTCATTCACCATAACAGAAGACAAGCTGATGAGCCAGGATGAAAGAATTAACAAAATAATTCCACGAAGACTTATTTTATGCTGCAGTTAATGGGATAATGGTGTCCACTAAGCTCATGACAGTCATGACATCATTAATGTGGCAATGTGACATGAGAATAATTACAGCCGTTGAGCACTGTGTTTTTCTTCACTGACTGAACAGGTATAGTCCTTTCCCTGCAGAAACCAGAGTATTGTCTGAGACAATACATTGTGCTGCCAAAACCAGTCACTCTTACACGCAGAGTATCCTGACCTGTGGCCACACTGACAGATCTTGAAGAGACAGGGTGTGACAAAGGACTGCTGCATCACGCAAATGGAACTGCTATTCCACCTCAGTTTACTAGAATCCAATCTAAAATGCCCTCAGTCAGTGCTGCGAATAAGCAATTGAGTGTTGTGTCTCCCAGACTACGACACTATGAAGAAGGCTGAACTGGAACTGCCTGCATTGCAAATGTAGTAAGAAATACCTCTTAATTGCTGTGCCTGGAGCAAAGAAAAATAACTCAGCATGGATGGTTGCTGGGTTACATACCAAAACAGTCTTACACTGAGCTGATTCAGTAGACTGGTATGCAGTGTTGGCTCAACGAGCCAATACAGTCTATCAGCTCCTCTGAAAGAAAAATAACTGCTGGGCGAATGACAGTCATTGAAGATCCTGCAAGCAGTAGAGCTATCAAGGTAATGTGTTTGACTACACTTTTTAGGAAATACTGCAAAATAATGTGCTATTCATTCAATACATTCCAAAGCAGTTTTTACAACTTTCTGTCAAGATGCAGCTTCATGAGAACGGTATGGAATTGGCACTGCAGCTTATAGATTTATCGAAGGATAATGAAGACCATCCGTATAGCTCCGCATAGCTATGTGGAAATGATTATTGTGTTAGCATCGGCACAATTTCTTTCTTCCTTAAAGATTATTATGTAGTTGCTATTGCTTTCTTGGGAAAGGTAATTTAGTATATCGGC